TATTATAAAATATAATAATTATAATCTCTATTAAGAATATCTCTATTTTATTTAGAACTTTAAATATAACTTTAAGAAGATAAAGAAAGTCGCTATAAAGAAGATAGATTTCTTAAAAAGGACTAAAAATACTTTACTAGAGATTAAGAAATAAACGATATTTCTATTAAATGCTAATACGAAACGACTTAAGAAGGATAAGACTATCTATAAAATTAGATCTATAATAGAGAATATTATAATTAAAGCTAAATTCTTAAGAAAGATCGTTAAGAAATCGAAATTTAAGAACTTAAGTGATAAGATGATAATTAAGAAAAAATCGATTTATTAGTCGTTCGTTTTTAAGAATTCGAATTTAGAGTTAGAAGTTAAGAAAGTAGATACTTACGATAATTATATATATATAAAAAAGAAGATTAATTTATTAAAGGATACTCTTTTAAAAATATAAGAAAAGTTAATAATACTTTTAACGACGACGAAAAGAATTTATAGAATAATTACTTTATTCTTAATATAGTATAAAAATATAATAAAACTTATTAAAAGCGCTGCGAAACTTTTCTTTTTCTAAATTAAAATTATAAGTAAATTAAAGATAAGAAAATCGATATTAAGAGTATTAAGAAATATTAGAATATTAATAAGCTATTATTAAATAAGATTCTTAATACCTTAAATATAGTATAGAAAATCTTCGCTAAGGAATATCTAGATCTAATAATTATTATATTCGTTTACGATAAGAATAAGAATCCTTTTATAGAGTTCGAAGAGTGAAAGAAAGATTTTATTTCTAATGCTACGACTAAGAAGTAATATATATCTCGATATACTTTTCTTTCTCCGCCTCGAATCCGCCTATATATCTTTTTTCCTATATCTTTATTAAATCTTATCGAGATACTTTTACGTCTATTAAGAAAAGTATATATCTTTCTTTCTCTACCTCGAATTCGATTTTATCTTTCTTCTACGAAATTCGAAAATTAAAAGAAAGGATTTTCTATTTCTAATTCTATAACTAAAGAAAGCGCTTAATTAAAGAAAACGCTTTATACTCTCCCGATCTAGCTTAGATTATATATCTTTATATCTAAATCTTTACGAGATAAAAAATGCGAATATTCGAGATACCTTTACGTCGAATACTTCTACGCTTTCTCTTTTATTACTTTTTAATATCTATTTTAGATTTAATATAATATTTTCATAAGAAGTAAAACTCGTATATCTTCTTTTCTATATCTTCACGTTAGAAACTTTATAAGATATCTTAATTCTATTTAAAAATTATCTTCTTTTATACCTTATATATCTTTATATCTAAATCTTTATAATATAAGAAAAAGCTCGAGGATAATACGGCTTTTTATAAGGGAGAGTAATTATTACGTTCTTAATATAGCGTAAGAACTTAATATATCGCTTTCTTTTCTTTTTTCGAGAAACCTTACTAGCGTAACTTAGTATATCGCTTCCTTTCTTCGTAAACGTTTATAGCTTTAGCTTATCAATCAATCAATCATAATTAAAACTAAGAAATACCTTTTCCTTCTTCGTGAAACTCCTTTCTAGAAGTACATATATGCTTCTTACATAGTATTTCTAATAATTATTATAGATTATAATCTCTATAGAGATCTCGAATATAAAAGAAGAATATCTACTAGATAAGCTTATTAATATAAAATTTCTTACTTAAATAATTTTTAGAGATTTCTATATAGCTAATAAAAGAGAGCTTAATAAAGATAAATTTAATAAGATAATATTAATTAAAGAAGATTTTAATAGCTTTACTAGCTATATAGTAAGATTATCGAAGTCTCTAATTATCTTATAAAAGAAAGGCTTATTAATAGCTTAGTCTAATAACTATAGTATTAATAACTTAAATCTTAAAAAATTAAATCTAGTTTTTACTCTATTATCTTATAACGTAGATAAAAATCTTAATAGCTCTAAAGACTTAAGAATATAAGTAATAAAATATCGAATTATAAATACTATTAAAGGCTTTAATAGATTAAGATATAAGTATACTATTTTAATAAAGTCGTTAATTCGAAAGATTAATATAATTATTTTTTAATTAATATAGATATAAATAATATTAACATTAAGAAGATATTTTATTAGATTAAAATTACTTATTAGATTAATAAGATAGTAGAGACTTTTTAATTAATAAATAAAAGAGTATTAACGAAAGACTTAGATAGTAGAATAACTATAAAGAATTAAGTAATAAAGTACTATTAAATAAATAGATAATAGTGGAGAAGCTTCTAGATTATTCGATAGTTAATTAATATCGAATAATAATATTATTATTATATTATAAGAGTAATATAGAAATATAGATATAAGAGTAATATATAGTAAAGATAATTCTTTTTCTACTAAGAAGTAACTACTTATAATACTAAGCTAAGATTCTTATTAAGATATCTTCTTAGCAGATATAAAGGTAGATAAAACTATATATTTATATAGTCATAATAGCTTACTATAATACTTTTCTATTACTCGCGTAAGAGTTAATTAATTTTATTTTAATTTTAATTTAATTAATAAGAAGTTAATTTTAATATATATTATAGTTTATTTTTATTAATTATTTTTATCTTTATTTTTATATTCTTTTTACGATTTTTACGATTTTACGATTTTACGATTTTTTTAATAAGAAAGATTTATAGATTCGAATCGAGAATAAAGCGAAATACTTTTAAATTTTATTAAAATTACTATTACTCGACTATTTAAGCTTATATTAAAGAATATTCTTAATAAAGTAAATAAGTTTTTAATAAGCGATATTTAAATTCTTTATCTTAAAATATTTATAAGATTAAATTTAATAATTCTTTTTTTATTTAAAAGCTTATATTATATTCTATAATTTAAAAAAACTCTAGAATTTTAATAAAAATTAAAAAGGTTATTTTAAAATTTAATAATATATATCTATTTTTCTAATTAAGACTATCGACTATCGAGTAATTTTAATAAGCGAACTTTTAATTAAATATTTAAATTTCTTATCTTTAAATAATTATAGTTTTTAATAGAAAATAATAAAGTTATTAAGGGGTTAAAAGTAGAATAAAAAAAATTTAATAATTATAAACGTTAATTTATTTATTCGCGATTACTTAATCGATCTAATTAAAGAGCGTAGCGAATTATTAAAGACTTAATAATATATATAATAACTCTATATTATAGTATAAAGAGAATACTATTTATATAGAATTATTATAAGTATAGATTTTATAGTAAGATAGAAAGATTAAAAGATCTTAATACGCTAAGTCTAATTAGATTATAATTTAAGTAAGATTATTAAAATCGTAATACGAACTTAAATTTATAATTAACTATATATAACTTTAAGATTTTTTAAATTAACTTTATCTTATTCTTTTATATATATTAATATAGGCTTTTAAATAAAAAATGAATTTTTAAATTTAATCTTATAAATATTAAAGCGTAAGGAATTCAAATATCGCTTATTAAAGTTCGCTTATTAAAGATCGTCTATCTATTTACTCGATAGTATTAGAACTAGTATAAATACGATATTAATATAAATGAGATAAAACGAGAATAATAAGACTATCGAATTATATAAATAAAAAGAAGATATAATATAATAGAGAATATCTTCGTTAAGGTTCGCTAGTTATAGAATTAAATAATATATTAAGAATACGCTCGTAATCGATAACTCTAATTAAAAAAAAGATTATAAATTTAATTTATAAATTTTTACTCGTATTAATATAAAAGAATAATATAGAATTAAGCTATAAAATCTTAAATTTATATATATAGTTAATTATAAATTTAAAGTTATTACGCTTTTTAATTAAATTAATTAAGTTATTAATATATATAAAAGAATAAAATAGAGTTAAATTAGAAAATCTTAAATTTATATATATAGTTAATTATTAATTCGAGGTTATTACGCCTTTTAACTAGATCGACTAAATTATTACGAATAAATAAATTAGCGTCCGTAATTATCAAAATCTCGCCCTTCCGCGCCTCCCTTATTAAAAAAATAGGCGTATATTATTAATATATAGAATAACTTTTTTATTTTCTATTAAAATTTTGAGATTTTTTAAATAAATTTTAAACCGCCATTTATGCTTTTCGAATTCTTAAGAATTTTAAAATTAAGTCTTATAATTATTAAAGCGCAAGGAATTCAAATATCGCTTATTAAAGTTCGCTCGACAGTCGAATAGCCTTAATCAACTATACATTATTTGATTTTAGAATAACTTTTTTATTTTCTATTAAAATTTCGAGATTTTTTTTTAAATTATAGAACGAAATATAAGCTTTTAGAAAAAAAATTATAAAATTAAGTTCTATAATTATTAAAGTATAAGAAATTTAAATATCGCTTATTAAAGTTTACTTATCAAAGATCGCTCACCTACTTAAAAAAATGATTATGAATTTAATTTATAGGCCTTTACTCGTTATAAATAAATAAATCAGCGTTCGCAACTATTAAAATCTCTTATTCTACTTTTAACCCCTTAATAACTTTACTATTCTCTATTAAAATTTTTGAATTTTTTTTTTAAATTATAGCCCGCAACTTGCGCTTTTCAATGCTTTAAGAATTTTGAAATTCGGTCTTATAATTATTAAAAGGTAAGGTACTCAAATATCGCTCACCAAAGATCGCTCACCGATAGCCCTAATCAAAAAAATGATTATGAATTTAATTCATAGGCCTTTACTCGTTCTGTTATATATACTGATTATATACTGCATCAAACAAGCGAAACAAGTGGGCCCTCGGCGTCTCCAAGGGCCCGATGGTGCGGAGAGATCACCCTACGAGTACAACCACAACATTCACGTACGGTACAAATCTTCAACTCGACTACACCGTACGCGCCGTGCACAATACTCTTCTTCTTGGCCCAAAACGTCATCCACTGCCTTAGATTTCCTAAAGTATGGATTTCTCCAATCCCAAACGCTCCACTTCCGCATCTCACAACAAGCCCCCCTCTCGGCCCTCCACCCCTCTACGCCCCAGCTCACGCACATCCCTCCGCGACAGTCAAACCTTCACCCCCAAGACCGGCTCTTCTGCCTCTCCTCTCGAGTTTCTTGAGCCTGCCTTTGCCGAACTCTCCGACTCAATGGCCGACCTAGAGGCCAACTTCATGCATCTGCAATTGATGCACGAGAGCTTGAGCAGATTCAATGAGAGCTTTGCAAGTTTCCTGTATGGGATGAACATGAATGCTTTCTGCGTGGATTTCCCAGAGGTGCGTTCTGCGTCTTCTTGAGAGGACGGTGGCATTGAAGCATCGTAACAGGCTCCCATATTGGATTCCTTCAAACGCGCGAAACAGAATGAAGAGCATGGCCAATCTACAGATCATGTCTCCCGTCCCGACTTTGCCGATGAGACTTTTATGACAACGGATACATCCTTTGTTGAAAATCCGCCTTCCTCTCGAGGCCCCACCAAGTTTGCAACACCGGCACCCATGGCCCGTCCAAGTTCGGGGCTTAACAAGCGCGGAGGTGCTGAGACTCAGCCAATAGGAGGAAGAGGAGGAGCAGCGCGTGGTAATCCAAGGGGCAGCGGTATCGCAAGAGGGAAGCCAAGGGTTACACGTTGAAATGATGAGGGTTCCGATTCGGGAGGCGAATGACTATGCGCCACTCCTGATGTATGCCGTGCAAGTAGCTTGTGTTGATAGATACTCCAAATCGATTATAGTGTTAACCCCATCTAACAGAGAGTCAGGGGGTACCTAAAAAGACAGTAATCTGAACGAAGACTTACTGAGGTCGGGGTTTGCATAGATAGCAGTAGGTAAGGCTCGGTAGAGTACTACGTTTATGGAAGGTACACATATCGTGATTTACGCAAGTTTCCTCATTGACCGTAATGGGATTTTCATGTACAAGTCGGGCAGCACAAAAGCATAACAATGCGTACAGGTAATGCCAAATTGACACTCGCATCGATCCCCCTAGTCTTTCAATACTGCAATCTGTACTGACTTTCATTTCCCTTGCTGGTAACAAAGCCTCAGCGCCTCCTAAGGCAACACCGAGGACTACTTTCTCTGAGCAGTCTACAATTCTTCTTAAGCATTTGCCCCACTCTCGGTCTGCGCCTCTGCATGTCTTGCCATGGTGTTTAATGCACTGCCATCCTTGAACCACGCGATCTGGCTTTCGTTGAAGGTGTGCTGCAGCTTTGCTTCCCAAACCTTGCCATCTTTGGGGTGTACCCTCAACGTCAAGGGTTTGCCGACGGCCAATTGCGTGCACATAACATCGACTTTGTCATCTGGGTTGATTTTGTCATAGTCGGTGGGGTCGGCAAAAGTTAATGGCAACATGCCTTGTTTCTTGAGATTGGTTTCGTGCTGTAAGAGTGATAATCAGCGAGCCGATGGAACAGCCGGAACGTAGATGCGAAGCAAGCCTAGGGAAGAACTCACGATACGGGCAAAACTACGAGTAATGATCGCGATACCACCGAGATGTCTTGGCTCGAGAGCGGCATGTTCCCTTGAACTGCCCTCGCCATAATTCCAGTCACCGACTACGACCCATTGGATACCTTTCTTTTTGTAGTCTCTGGCTGTTGCAGGAACTGCACCGACCTCACCGGTTGCGAAGTTCTTGACCTTGTTGGCTTCGCCATTAGCAGCGTTGATGGCTCCAATTAACATGTTATTGGAGATATTGTCGAGATGACCGCGGTATTTGAGCCAAGGACCCGCCATGGAAATGTGATCGGTTGTCGTCTTGCCTTTGGTTTTGATTAGGATTGGGATGTCTGTAGCATCCTTGCCATCCCACGCTTGAAATCCGGAGAGGATCTGAAGTCGGTCGCTTTCTGGAGACACAGCAACAGAAATCGAAGCTCGCTCCTCGGGTGGTGCTTGGTAAGTATCCTGGCCAGGGTCATAACCGTTTGCAGGTAGGCCATCTCCGGTAGGAGCAGACAACTTGAACTCGTTACCGTCCTTGTCCTTCAAGGTATCGGTCAGAGGGTTGAAATTTAGCGTGCCAGCCAACGATAGGGCGACCACAAGATCTGGTGAGGTGACGAATGAGTGTGTTGCAGGATTCGCATCGTTTCTTCCAGTGAAATTACGGTTGTACGACGAGAGAATGGAATTAGCCTCGCCCTTTTTGACATCCCTTCGATCCCACTGACCAATGCACGGTCCGCAAGCGTTCGCCAAGACCATACCACCAAAATCCTCAAGAGTCTTAAGCTGACCATCTCGCGCGATTGTAGCACGAATTTGCTCGGATCCGGGAGTGACCGTGAACATTGATTTGGCCTTAACGCCGTGATCAAGAGCATCACGTGCAATTGATGCAGCGCGAGACATGTCTTCGTAGGATGAGTTTGTGCAGGAGCCAATCAGTCCAACTTTTAACTCCTCTGGCCACTTATTGGCAGACACCGCTTCTTTGAACTTGGAGATGGGGGTCGCCAAGTCAGGGGTGAATGGCCCATTGATGTGGGGCTCCAGTTCTGAAAGGTTTAATTCAATGAGTTCGTCGTACTGAGCCCCTTCGTCTTCATGCAACTCTGCGGCATATGTTCTGGCGAAGTCTCCAATAGACTTCCGCTTCGTCGCTGCCAGGTAATCATACATTCGTTCGTTGAATGGGAAGAGCGAGGTGGTGGCACCGATTTCAGCGCTAGAAATGCGTTAGTGTGATGCTCAGGACGCCATAATAGACAAAAAAGGAAAGAACAACTCACCCCATGTTACATATGGTCCCCATTCCTGTCGAAGACAATGACTTGACACCAGGCCCATGGTACTCAATGATGGCTCCTGTTCCACCTTTGACTGTCAGGATACCAGCAACTTTCAAGATGATGTCTTTGGGCGCTGTCCAGCCAGACATCTCCCCAGTCAGCCGTACACCGATGACCTTTGGCGCTTTGAGCTCCCACGGAAGATTTGCCATAACATCCACTGCATCCGCACCACCGACCCCGATAGCACACATGCCGAGACCACCCGCGTTAGGTGTATGCGAGTCAGTACCAATCATCAGACCTCCGGGAAAGGCATAGTTCTCTAAAACGATCTGGTGGATGATACCCGAGCCGGGTTTCCAAAATCCGATGTTGTATTTAGCGCAAGAAGAGGATAAGAAGTCGTAAACTTCCTTGTTGATATCCTGAGCTCTCGCAAGATCCTTTTCGCCACCGATTCGGGCCTCGATCAAATGATCGCAATGGACAGTTGTAGGAGTGGCTACTGATGGCATGTTTGCAGACATGAATTGTAGAATGGCCATCTGGGCTGTCGCGTCTTGACAAGCAACCCGGTCAGGTCTCAGCTTCAGGTATGACTTTCCTCGCTCGATGTCTTGTCCATGAGGATCGTCGAGATGTGAGTAGAGGATCTTTTCCGCATATGTCAAAGGGCGGTTAAGACGAGATCGAACAACGGAGAGATTTTCTGACATTTTCCTAGCAAAAAAAGCAAGGTTAATAATATTGACGATTTTGGGCCTCCCATGCCGGCATCCAGACATTATCCGCCATACTGCGTAGAAGCCGAATGTTGCGACATAGAAAGGTAGGCACATACTTGTAGTTGATATAGTGACCCTGTAAAGCCACATCAGCGTCCGATTCAATGGGCAACTGAGAACACAAAGCATTGTGGACTCTAATGCATGCAGGAGCCATACCTTTTCCCAGTTGGTCATCTCGACCTTCTGAGCCAAGGGATCATCTGTGACTGTAGCGAGTGTTCGAGTACTCGAGAGCTATGGAGGACGTGGGTAAGCAGATAGAACGGCACAAGCAAGTTTGCAGCTCTGGAGTTGGAGCATCCTCGATAAAAGACGATCGCGAGGGAAACATACAACTCTGACACTCGGGACCTGTTGATGCAGCTATCAGTATCGTCTTTGCTTGGATAGTAAGGCCGCTGCACGTATGCCCGTGGCCAAAGCTGGGGTGGGGAGCAACGGATGAACTTACCAGCTTGCCCAAGCGGGCAATGTGCCTTGTTGAAATCATCCTGATACAACTTGACTCGAAGAGAAAGTTGTGCCAGCCCGCACGCAACACAACTGTCGTGGGTAAGTAAGGTGGGGAAGAAGAAAGTTGCTGTTGGCGGCGCTATGGACAAGAAGGAGATCCGAGATAAGTGATGCCGAAAGAGGTTACCTCCCGTCACCTAAATGCAATACCCCCTCGATCGACAGAATCACTAGACATCTTCAGTCTACGTACTTTACTTCACGGACATCAAAGTACAGACTAAGGAGGTGTCGAAGTTTCTTCTCCATTAAGCCGAGTTCTGAGCGTTTCGGATTGTTGAATATTTGTTTGTCCAGAGTTTTGGCTTGCGTCGGAAGGTGACCAATCACAAATCAGAGATTTCCTTTATTCATCTCTACGACTCAAAATTTATTTTCCACAAATCATATTAATATCACACCCAAAAGATATTGATTGTGAGAATGGGTTCAATTCGAAGGAGCAAGACGAAACGTAGAACAAGGTCCGTTTGCAAAACTCGAGTCTGTATAGTAGCTAAACATGAATCCTAGAGATCTCGATCAGGTTCACGCAGATATCAGATCTGCAAAGCATTTGAGCCAGCATAAGAGCGCGAAACCAGCCGAAGACCGACCGGGCCTAGGCCAATTCTATTGTATTGAGTGTGCGAAATGGTTCGAGGGAGAGATTTTGATCCAGCACAGGAAAGGGAAGAAACACAAGAAAAGGTACTTTTGCCTTGGATTCTTGCTATCAGCTTTAATTTCAAAATGGGATACTAACAATCCCCAGGCTTCGTGCGTTACGTGCAGAGCCATACACACAGAAGGAGGCTGAAGCTGCCGTGGGGATCAGAACGGACAACGGCATCAGAAATAACGCATTAGCTGTGGCATCTGGAGAGCAGCCAGCTGCCATGGAGGTTGAGACTGCAGGTACCTGATGATATCCAAAATGGAAAAGTCAGAACGGCGAGATAATAGGTAGATCCTGAGTATGGCCACCGACTGTCGTCTGGGTAATTCCGAGACTGCAGACAAGCACTTGGTGCCAAGTTAGCCGATCCACGAAACCGCGGAGCTCACAAACCCATGTCAAATAGACAAGTATCTGATCGACCATGGATTACCCGTGGAACTGGAGGACAATGGCACGCATATCGAGGACTAGAGTCACATGGGGGAAAACGATGATCGCGAATGAAATGCTCTGTATAGAAGTAGCAAAGGTCGAACAGTATAGATGATTTCTTGTAGGAGAAACTGTTGCAGAGAAGCTCGTATTTCAGACGAGAGCAAATGAGGCCGCCTCTCGGGGTCGCTGAATTTGTGAGTTCTTGGTGGCTCAAACACCGCAACGAAGATTAATGCTTGGAACAGAATCATAGTAGATCCCAAAGTAGTAGAGCGTTAGGGCAAGAAGTCAATAAGAGGATTGCCAAGGTTTGCTGACGGGAAGCTCGCGACGATTTGTTTTCTTAGCAACAGTTCAGCTTCGTTCGTTCATGAGAAGAGCTGACCAGCCACAACTCTCACCTCACGCTCATTACTCCGCTCTATCCTTGTCTCTTGACCAATGGTTCTCTGTGGTATTCCATAAGGACTAATCAAACATGCCGCCAAAGTCTAAGGAAGGCGTTATGTTTTCAGGAGCCTGGATTTCCTGGGCTCATACAGTGGTGGCATATACTGCTTTTCTCGGCGCTTTGGTCACGGGCTTATACCTCCATTATCACAAGATCGTGGAGAATGAGTACTATGTACGTCGTCAACCCAAAAATTCGCCCGCTCTTTCAAGCTGACCCATTGCTCAAGGGCTACCCGGATGAATGGTTTCCTTCGGTCTCTGCCACCATTGGAGATAGATATCCGGAGCGTTCAGTATTTCAGATCTTCATTGCCATGACTTCTGGTACGCTCTCTCTTCTCGAGCTGTCCGAAATTTCTCGGCTAATAATGGACGCGCAGGTCCTCGTTTTGCCTTAGTATTTCTCTGGTATATTTTGACAGCACGCCCCGACTCGGTCCTGCCAATTTTTGTGGCAGGTACCGGCCTGTTCCGTACACTAACGTGCGGTGGATGGACGTACGTGACTTCTACGGATGACCATGGGTGGCACGACGTCTTCATGATATCCTACTTGGTAGCTACATTGCCCTGGACTTTGGGCTGCATAGCCCTCAGTCCAAAAGAGAATTCGAAGGCTTTGAGATACAGGAAAATCCTAGCCGGAACATTTTTCGGGACTTTGGTGCCTCTGATCTACTTCTTCATTCAGCACAAAGTTCACAGAGTTGCGGGAGGTCAGATTTGCTCTTGTCTTTCATATTAGGGTAGTTGCTAACCCCTACAAGCCTATACTACTTACGCCTTTTTTGAATGGGCTCTTATACTCCTGGATGTAGGATTCGACGCTGTCACGGCATTAGATTTCCAAGGCTTCGAAGTTGTGATCAGAGACGTCCAAGGATCTAGCAGAGGGTATGTCTACTGGCTTCCAAAGTACGCAAATGTAGGGAGATGACTTTGCTTTCCCATGGGCATCGGTCTGACAATTTGGTCAAACAGTAAGGATTTTCGGGTTTCTGATGCTGTGTTGGAGAAAGAGTACGTATACCACAATCCCTTCAGAATGTGTATCTCATTTTCTATCAGGAAAGGCAAACCTGCTGGGCAAATATTTGGCTCGGGCTTTTTCTGGTCCGAAGCAGTTGACGCTGCTGCTGATATATACAATGGAGTAAGTCCAACATTACGAGGTATTCCCGTAGTGACTACGCTGATAAATTCTGAAGTTCGTCTTCTGGTCGATGTTGACGTCTCTCGGGCTTACCGTGTGGTGTGAGTCCAGCCTCCAGCGCTGTTCAGGGTTGCCATTACTGAAGACTCCTAGACTTTCCACTTTGGCATATGGGCATTTCAGGTTACGAGGTCATGGTCATGTGCACCATCTCTCCTTTCTTGCTTTGCTCGTCATCCGTTCGCTCCCTCGTCATCAAAAACACTCGCTACGTCCATCTTCTATCTCTCACAGGCCTTTTGGCCTATCTCGTCAAGACTCCGGAGTTTCGTCTGTTTGCTGTGGGTTTCGGTGTTTCGATGACCTGCCTAGCCTGGTCAGCTACATGGTACGCCGAAAGATCCCAAGCTGCCCGCCTTGACGCACGAGTCTTAGCCTGGAGTATTGGCTTGCTAGCCTCGAGTCTGACGAAGTTTGCTTCGCACACCAACAACCCAATTTGGCCCATTATGCATGCCGAGAACGGCGGCTGGAACAAATTAGGCCTTTTCTTAGCATTGGCAGCTATTCTACGCTCGACTAGGCAAACCACAGACAACAGAGGGGGCCTCGAGACCATGGGTAGCCCAGCCAGCTCTCACATATTAGCCGGCCTTGGTCTCGGTGGCTTGATCTTTGGTATGCATTCTCTATTGTCGGACTCTAGCACCATGATCCTTTGGGTTTGGGAAGGCTTTCCAGTCAGAGGGCCAATCGCAGCCAATGGAGTCATTACGCTTCTTGCTATGGGTGGTGGTGTACTCCTCTTCATTTGGCTTCAAGAAAGAGCCTCAAGTTGGCGTAACTTCTCTCTGCTCGGTAGTGGAGCCTTTCTTCTCACAAACTATAGCAACTGGACAGGTTTTTTTGGTGCCGTACTAATGGCTATCGAGTTGATGTCCCTCGCCCCTTCTTTAATTGGGTCAGCCGCTCGTCGCGGTCCTGCGGCGTTTGGCTTAGGATTCTTGATATACAACATTTTGGTGCTTGCACATGTGTGGGTGGTTGCCTACGCCTTTGTACCTGGAGGACCTCTCATGCGCGAGCACACCGACTGGGTCATGACGGCAACTGTAGTCTTCATCGGTGCGGGTATCTATACCATGCCAGCATCAAAGGAGAATATCAAGTCGCGCCAAAGATCAAACAGGAATGGGCGAAGTAGGTTCAAGTCCTACTACGTCTATTCTCTAATGGTCCTTGAACTGCTTGCTATCTCCGTATCCTACCTTCGCTTTCCAACCAACGACTATACTCCCTACCATAAAGAGGAAAAGGTCATTACTGCGGGCGTTTGGACAATTCACTTTTCCCTTGACAATGATATGTGGTCTTCCGAGCGACGAATACGCGATCTGATCAAAGAACTCGAGGTCGACGTGATCGGGCTCATAGAGACGGACCTTCAGCGAATCATCATGGGCAACCGAGATACCACTCAATATTTGGCCGAAGACTTAGGGATGTACGTCGACTTTGGGCCGGGTCCAAACAAGCATACCTGGGGCTCAGCACTTCTCTCCAAATTCCCCATCCTGAATTCAACACACCATTTACTTCCATCACCGGTTGGGGAATTAGCTCCGGCCATACATGCGACACTCGATGCTTACGGCGAGCACATTGATGTTGTTGTCTTCCATTCGGGTCAGGAAGAGGATCCGGAGGACAGAAGACAGCAGTCTGAGTATTTGGCAAAACTCATGAAAGAATCGCCGAGGCCTTTGATCTTGCTGAGCTACCTGGTCATCAAGCCGCAGGAAGGGAACTACAATACCTATGTGGGCGACAAGAGCGGAATGAAGGACATTGACCCAAGTGATTGGGATCGATGGTGCGAGTATATACTATACAAGGGCATCAAGAGGTCAGGATATGCTCGAGTGAGTAGGTCGACTATCACGGACACAGAGATTCAGGTAAGCAACCAGGCTTCGCACTCCCTGACCGTTTCAACCGTGGCTGCTAATCATGGCCATTACAGGTGGGCAAGTTCATTGTTGGTGAAGCAGAAGGCAGCGATGAACGGGTTCCGGAAGAACAGGTTGCTGAGGGTTTGCGATTCCCTGCAATGTTCCGAGGTGAAGGAGTGCGAGGTCATCAATACCACGTCTTTGACGAGCCGAGGTATTACTATTAGATGGTCGAGATTGTCAAGATCTGCTGTATAATAACCATTCATCTATATCGAACCTCAATATATTGAAGCTCTAGTGCGAATATTAAGTCAAGCACATCTTGAATAAAACGGCTTGTCTTTGACGCCAAACAAGCGGACAAAGGCCTGTCAGACCAATTACCTGGGTGGCACTCAACGCTTGCGGCCTTGCAATTGACATAGTACTGTACAACAGTAACAATCAAGAATAATGCAGGCTGGCTATCTGGGCATTAGCGGTTGGGTGCTTCTAGCTTACGGTGAACTGGCCAAACTGGATGCACCAACCAAAGTAGTGCGGTATCTCGAGTCTCAGCAGAGCAGCGCAGAACAAAGAGGTCCACTATTATCAAGCTATTATATAGCTTAAAACGGTCGCACCATCTCGAAACGGGCAACAGGCTCCAAAACGTTGGCGCGTAAACATTCATTGGACGCCGTCCCTTGAAAGGAAATTATGATTGACGAGATTCCTACGAGTAGCAACCTCAAGAATTTCTTAGCGCCGGCCAGAAACCTTTCCTTCTCCCGTCTCCTGCCAACAAATCCGCCTCTCCTCTTTCCTACTACTATTTACTACTACTCTCCTCAACCACTCCAGCGAGTATGCAAATGGACGAGTTGAACGGCCTCCGTTCACACTAATCCCATCAATGCCATTCCTCAGCGATACCTGCTGATTTCAATCATTCTGCAGCATTGCCCACTGTCGTTACGTCCTCGCCTTGCTTAGGGGTCGCAAAAAGCTTTAATTCGAAACAATTACCTACATTCCGGTCACCGAAAGTCCATCCACCGCGACAATTCCCGATCTTTCAAACTCGAGTCACACGCACAAACGCACAGAATCAAAGGGCTGCTGGCAGTTCTTGGCTTCTGGATAACGCGTTGTTCATCTCACTTGAAGTTTGGGAATCTCCAACCGACATCGACCTTTAACACCGACATCGCAGCTCCTTCAGAACGATAGAGGTCGGATAGCCTTTGTGTGGGCTTGGACAAAGAACTCGTGACCTTCATTGTGCCACGCAACCAGCTAAAGCATTATTCACTCGTTGAGTCTTTGCACAATCAGCGTCATCTATTTCTCGAGGACAATCAAGGTAAATTTGCCCATCCAAGTTTGTGTTTGTCTTTGATAAGTCATACTACAACACCAGGTGCTGGATATTTGAACTGACCCATCACTCCACGATAGATTTTTGATAATAATCATTCATAATTAACCCACCCATACCAACAAGAACATGAAGTCGACATCGCTGAGGGCCGTCGCGACGGCCTTGCCTCTGTTCTACGCTTTTCCTTTGGTATTTGCGCAGTCTTCCTCTAGTCTGGAGCCTCCGGTCTATGAGGGTTGTTTTACTTCGTCGGCCGGCATGACGGATCTAGGCTCGTACATGTATCAGTCGCCAGGATACTGCCAACAACAATGTGTCAACCAAACCAAGCCAGTGATGGGCACAACCCTGGGATCTAATTGCTGGTGTGGTGATCTGCTTCCGGCGTCGAGCAGCAAAGTCTCAGATTCTGAGTGCAGCTCAAAATGTTATGGGTACAACTTGGATACATGTAAGTTGCAGCTAAGACCGCCGTTTTACTTGTTGCTGACTGTGTCACAGGTGGCGGGCCCAGTTCTTGGTCCGTCCAGCTAACTGGAGTGAATAACAATGTTGCGAGCCAAAGCTCTAGCTCAGAGTCGAGCTCGGATTCCAGTTCGACTTCGAATTCGGATTCGGATTCAAATGGCAGTGCAGCATTCTCATCGTCGTCGACGTCATCAGCTGCAGCATCACCAACAAAAAAAGGGCCTCCGTCCGTCGTCACCAAGGCTAGCACTATTATAGTGACTGCCGCCGGTCAAACCACCCCACAAGAGACGATCATTACCACGACACAAGCTCCTTCCTCGAGTGGGCCCAATAAAGCTGGCATTGCGGCCGGCGTGGTCGCCGGCGTAGTCGCTATAAGTGCTATAGCTGGAGGGATCTTTTTCTTCCTCCGAAATCGCAAGAGACGAGCAGTTGAAGCGGAGTATCGTCGCAATGTGGCGGGTGACTACGGTGCGAAGCTCCCGACTAGTTCTGCTGGGTCAGTGTCGGATGCCAGGCTAGAGCCCTCAGTCATGATGCAGAGGCGGCAAAGTGATGGCAGCATAGCAGACAATCAAGATTACTCGAGGAGGATATTAAAGGTATGTATGCTCTTCTGCCGCGGATGTACAATGTTACTAACATTATGCCAGGTCACGAATCCTGATGGCACGTGACATCGCGGGGTGAAGCTCTATCACGACAACGATTCCCGTCCTTCTCCAGCGCTCTGTCAGTAATGTATCTTGAATGTATCTCGAATGTGTTCTACTCTGCGCACCTCTTCTTGTATAATAGGTCGGTTTGTTCGGGGGTAGTGCACTACCCCCGAACAAACCGATGTGAGACGAAGGTACGAGGTTTCGTTTATACTTTGACTGCAGAGTCAAGGCCATCAGAAGGGACTTCGCGATTCGGACGACTTATGAGGGCAGACTCCCTTACTTTGTCAGTCCCCATCGGCATGCATTGGAATATATGTAGCACCCCCTTTTCTTGTGTTCGTGGCTTTACTGGAGGCGCATATATACCCTGGCCTTGGCGGAGCCAGCGTCATCCTGCTTGGATGATGGAGGTGAGTGGAATGCTGGCAGAACCGAATGTATGCACCTCATCTAGATTCGTTCTAGCAGTCTATCGCTCGAAGTCAAAGTGAAGATTATGTGTTTTCTACCAGCTTTACCGGTAACGGTGCTGCGTGCAAAAGTAGAAATTTCCTGTAGAAACTTTTGTCCATACAAATATATATGGTGTCTGATACATATCTGTAGTGGAAATGCATGTCCAGTGCTAAATGTGTCTCGCGATCAGTGCTGGATTTGCTAGGTAAATAGAACTCGGAAAGGCTAACGACTTCACCGCAAACCCACTTTGCACTCGCACTCAATTTGCTCTGTTTATCACTCCAACATCTTGTTAGTAAAAATCGTGCTCTTTACGCCAGCTAACTTCCTAATCACACGCATCCTACCTCGAGAATGTCCCTCCGCTCTAGCGCGGACAAGAAAGCCCCAAATGCACCTCAACCAAGTCTGTTGCACTCTGCCCCTAAAGAGCTCTCGAACCAGTGGCCAGTCAATTGTGCTGAACATGATACAGGTCAGGAGAAGCAAGCAAAGCTTTTAGCATCCGACACAGGCCATTTCTCCATGATCAAGTTCGGCTTTCTTTGCCTACTCGCCCTATTCTCTACTGAACTTGTCCCACACTGATCCTCGTCTTTTCCAGAGCTCTCCACCTCGCCGACCTGATCACCGAATTGAACGGTTCGTCGTCCTCCTTTTTACTCTCAGAGCTATCCATGCAGCTTCTTCTCACGCGTCCTTCCCAATACCATCGCTGATGCCCAACCGTAGGCTTCTGTGGTTTCATGTCCATCCTCTCCTCCATGCGCTACTGCCTCGGCCCGCCAGACTCTTTTGGTAACATGTGGGCCGCGCTGGCATTCATGCCATTCGGGCTCTTCTTCGACTTCATGGACGGCAAGGTTGCCCGGTGGAGGGGCAAAAGCAGTCTAATGGGACAGGAACTGGACTCTTTGGCAGATCTGGTACATGAGAAGCCTCTTTCAACTATCAATCCTGCCTGCCTGCACCAAGGAATGTCTGAAACTAAGCCTACATAACCTACACTTACCCCCCCCCCCCTCTTTTTTTTCATTGCATCAATGCTGACATCCCGCCTAGATTTCCTTCGGTGTCGCACCTGCAGCGTGCGCCTTTGCTCTTGGCCTCCGCACCCCACTTGACACCCTGTTCCTCTCCTTTTTCGTCCTCTGCGGGCTTACCCGCCTTGCCCGCTTCAACGTTACGGTCTCGTCTCTACCAAAGGACAGTACGGGCAAGAGTAAATACTTTGAGGGAACCCCTATACCTACCTCTTTAGGTATCGTATCCGGCATGGCTTGGTGCGTCTGGAGTGGCATGGTGGAGGGCGGCAGTCAAGGTGTCCTGGGAGGGGTCTGGGACCTCGGGTTTGGGGGAGGGGTGCACCCGATTGTAGGCATATTCGTTGGATGGGGTTGTGCGATGGTGAGTAAGAGCATACATATCCCGAAACCGTAGGGTCATGTAGTACGTGTAAACGTCCGGGAAGACGAAAGCAATTACAGGTTCCTTCTACTCTTGCCATTCTCGCTCAACGGTCGCGGATCACAATGCCACTACTCCCTAGCAGTGACTCTGCCAATCGTGCACGAGACAACCCTCCCGGTTTTTTTTGCATTCACTGCACACCTTATCATCTAATATCAAGCCCCCTGTCAACTACGTCTTCGGGCCGAAGGTGGTCAATTTTGTGTCCTGGCCCCTGATATTGAAGCTTCTAAGCAGCAGGGAAAGAGGAAACGCGGGCACGTTCAATCGAGAATAATATATATCTACTTGAATTCAAGTTGATAGAAAAAGGAGAGAACACCAGGTGCAGATTGGGATCAAGCAAAAAAAACCCCCAAAATCAAAAGCAAGGCGATTGATCCACCAAATGTCATGTCGAGTGATATTCAGCTGCAAAGCACTTTTCGAAGAAGCTGTTCGATCTCTACCTGCGCCAGCTGAACACCAATCATCTTCGTGTATCTTACATTATTGATCCCAAATCTAGCACTTCCCAAACAATTGAGCCGTAGAAGAAGCTCGTTCCTTGCATGCCAATCGTCAACTTTCAAGATGATCATCCCAGCCAGCTGGGATGACACCATTGATTACTCATTATATTCCTATTGTCGCTGTTCGCGTGCGGACGTACACCGCTTGTGGGAATCTCAACGATCCTCAACCCATTAAACCCCAACGTCCTTCCCACCGTTCTTTCCTGCCCCAAGCAAGCCGTGACTCAGGCCAAAGAACATGGTATCCAAAATCGCCAATGCGTTGCTGCCCGATCTCCAAACGAACGCCTGAATGGGACAACGCCAACTCCGACATTGCCTCCCTAGATTAAACTCCGAACGGCGCAAAGGGAATCTAGCTGCATTCCTCTGGCAGGCGTTACCATCCCTTCTTACGTGCGAAGCGCTTGTTCAGCAACGCCAGAACCTTTGTTACGTTGAATTGGACGTATTCCAGATCGAGCGCCTCCGTATTATCCTTCTGCATTTCAAGAAGATCATCGAGCTTGAGATCCAGTTCGAGTAGACCGCGATTTCGCCCTGTCATTTATATTATCAGCAACTTCGCAACCTCAACTGTTATTGAGGAAAGTAATAGACTCACCTTTGTAATGGAGACTGATGACGAACGTCCCGGGCAACGGACTGTTAAAATTGAAAAAGATATTAGCTCGGCGGTTCTCGGGCACATTACTCCGTTGGATAACGCCCTCTTTCTCTAACTGCTGATGCGTAAATTTATATGGTCCCAGTGCCTGCACCTTCTGCTTGCCTCTGCTCTTGCCCTCGCTCTGGCTCCGAACATTGTGCAAGTAAGACTTGTAAGTTTCTAACTGCCCTACGAGGTAGCTATTATGGTCTCGAATGGTGCGGAAGACCTCTTCGAGCTTCTTGGTTTCTTCGAGCACCTTCTCTTTGAGAGAGCCGAGGTGAATGAGTTCGGATTCGACTTCATCTCGAAGAAGCGAGAAGCCGTCCGATTTATCAACAACGCGGAGCTCCTGCAATTGGCTCAGAAGTTCCATACTTCTGATGCCCTTACGTACCATGACGGCATCGTTCTTCAGCGTCGCCGCTGCTTCAGCAACGCGGTCAAGGCGTAAAGGCCGCCGGCCGACAGATGAATTAGGTGGAAGCGACCTCAAGATTTGTACAAAGGTTGCCTTTGCTTCCATGAAGTAGACTTCTTCTTGGGTGATGTCAAGAGCAGCGGTGAGATCGTCGATGGCGTGCTCCCATTTGCTGAAGAGGGGCAGATTAATCGCACGGTTTTCTTTCCTTAGTAGCTGAGCCGGGGCTGGACCAAGCTCTTGGAGGATGACATTCAGGTGCGAGTCGTCGTCCTTCCCAAGCGCAGCGCTATGCTTTTCGAGCAATGCATGTGTGGCGTAGACTTCATTGAGCGTGATTGACAGCTCAAGATCCTTTTTGGAAAGAGCAACATAGTTGTCCATTTCTAGGCTTTCATAGAAATCTTGCACCTCGCAGAGGTCCAACATGAATTTGTTAACTCGCTCTTTGTTCTGATGGATGAAAGGTTGAAGCTTCAACATGTACGGCTCCTTGGCGTATGACGGCTTGTTCGCCAAATTCTGCAACATCTTGGCTATGTACGTCAACGTCCGCCTCGGATTCTCTGCGGGCTGACCGTCGATGAGCATGTAGGATCTCGGGGTGACGATAGCCGGGTTAATGAATCTTAGAAAGAAGAAACCCCCAATGAGGGTACAAACTGTTTGGTCGTTTGCATCAGGATACTTTCTTTTCGACAAGCTGCGAATCTGTTTGCAAATCCACCGTATACCATATGGTGTCTCATCCAGCCCTTGGATGATTTTCTCCAGGAACGAATTCGCAAGTTCAATTAGCTTCATGAGTCTTGGTGCAATGATCTCCTGAACACGCGGGTTCTCTGCGGCTTCTTCGGCCGTCACGCCTCTTGGAAGTGAGTCAGAAACACTGCCAGGGTCTTCCTCTTCCCTTTCAATCATGTTTGCGTACACTTTCAGTGGGTTAATTTCCAGGTCCACGTCCTTGAGTTCAATTACCGGATTGATCTTGTCTTGCAGTACGACCTTCAAGTAGCTTTGTCCTGGTCCGCGCCTGGTGTAAGTCGTCATCATGCGCGAAACGGGAGTGTTGGCCCGCAATAAGGAGGAATAATCGGGAGTATTATCAAATTGGTATGTCAGTACAGATTGGAACATGGTCAGCAGGAGGTGTTCTTCTCGGCTCTCGTATTGATTACCATATATTGTGAACATGACGGTTTGCAGCAGAGAGTCGATTTCGGCCATCGTGACCAGCCTACAGAGGTGTGCAATATGTCGAGGCTCCGATTGGAGAAGAAAGAGCAGATTGCCGTATTTTTGGGTTTTTTCGTCATTAGGGAAGAAACCTTCCTGCAAATCTGCGGCATCTTCGAGATGGTTCGCGACCTCGTTTTGCTGTTCGCAATTTTAGCCCAATCACAACTGGTGCGCACTTGAACATAGTACTTCTTCCAATGCCATGCGATTCTGAATCAAAAGCGCTATTCTCGAATCAAGATATCGAACATCCTTTTCGAGTACGAAATTCTTTTTCGATTGACTGGAGATTTTAGCTTTATAGTCGCGCTGGACCTTCTGGGCTTTGCGATCCGTCAGCGAATAGCTGGCTGATTTTTGGCTTCTTTCCTACCTCTTGCTAAATCATCTTCGATCTCTAGATCTTTTTCCTTTGCTGACATGGATAGATACAACGCGGTCGAGTACCTCTTCGACTGCCGCGCAGAGCGTCCATCGCTAGAGGAGACGGTATTTTGGCGGGAAATAGGGACATGGGATGAAGAAGAGGACGTCGACGCCCGCGAGAGATGCGGCATAATTGCTACAGACATCCTACTGTTGACCTTGGAGGTAGATTTTGCGATGAGGGCTGGATTCAGGGATGTCGCCCAGCGCCGATTGGTAGGCGTGGTTGCACTCGCATAGGAACCTGATTCAGGAACAGTGTAGGGGCTTCGGTTCGGAGGTCCGAGAGAGGGTTGTCGCTTGCAGTGGCCTTGATAGGATGTGCTTCGCCTTCACAAGCTCGCCAACAGCGCGGGACTAATTCAGACCTGCAGTGGTCCAGGGCGGGAGGGAATTGGGTGGGATGCGCAACGCTGTTCTGCCGAAGCCGTGATAGCTTGGGATCAGTCCGAGCAGACACTCCTAGCTGGAGGCTTCTTTTTCTGTCATGAAGTATTGGAATGTTGGGCGGCATCTAAGAGTAAGCAGACATGAGGGGAACCCTGACTTTGGCGTTCGTAGAGAGAGGAGCGGAGGGCAATGCAGCAAGATGCAGCAAAACTGATCTAGGATGTTACCCGAATTACAGGAGAGGGATGCGAGGATATGGAGTGACGCGGGTTGTAAACAATTGCGATGAGAAGTCAATGTTAAATGACATGGCCAACCGGAGGTCATCATCATTGGATGGCGCTAGTGGAGCAAAGGCAATTGGTACCTTAGCTCGCGGGGTGTTCTACCATGTACTATACTGTCATTTATATCTTACGCTTGCACACATATTTGTTCTAAGCTTCTGCATGCTTTCATTGATCGTTTAATGGCAAAGAAAGTGTGATAATAGTGTCGATCGAATGGTGAACATCCATCGGTAAGATGACCGCAACAAGATCGACATTGATTGCAGATACGTGCGACAGGCAGCGACTGTATCCGGATCTAGGTATGGCTCTGATAGAGTGCTGACGCTGGTAACCATTCTGCTTGTCATTCCTACCACAAGAAATAAATAAACCAGCGGATTCCAGGGAATCATGCCTTCAGTATAGGTACTCGTAGTAAGCGAAGGATGAGACGTGCCACATCAGCGTTCATTATCATGTCCATCATTTATCTCTTCTGCATAGATCCATATTTTCATTATCATATTTGCATTCAGGTACATACACACAAGCTCAGCTGACTGGAGTTGACGTGCAGCGCCGCGACTCCTTCACGAGGTGAGTAACCTTAGAGGCAACCGATCGCCGTTGTGGGGTCATGAGAGGCGGGATCTTCTTCCTGTGCAGGATCTTCTTCCTGTGCAGGATCTCCACGAGCTTCTCTGCTTCCGGCCGAGTAGCTGCCATCTGAATAGAGCACGGTTCTGTAAACCGAAGCGTCGCACATGATAGATATGCAATGCTACAGACTAGACAAGCTGTTTTCATGAAGCGAACAACTCAGTAAATATCATCGCTGCTCCCAATATTCTGCGTGTCTAGACTGAGCACCTGCATCCGCAGCGTCAACCTTTGAACGTAAAGCTTTTGCCTTCTTGCTCCTTCTTTGCCTTTCGCATTCCCTTGGGAGCATCACCCGATTTGGTGTAAGGATTGATTTCCTTGCCTGTTACCATCCGATTGCTGTCTCTTTGGGCATGTAAAACCGATGGAGCATCTGCATAATCGATTGGCTCTAGATCTCTAGGCTTCTTACTCTTGGCATCTTTTTTCTCTCGAAGCCCCTCTTTCTTCAGCCGCTTACTCTCAAGTCTCCGAGCGCGCTTTTCTTCTTTCGTTGCACCCAACACCCTAGAATTTTGATCGTGTTGCCCCTCGTTTTCGATAGTGGGAGGCGTGTCGACCTCGTCAGCGCGTTCTTGAGCGTTTTTGGCCGCGTTGCTTTCGGGTCTTGAATACGCTGCTTTCGGAGGATCGTACGAATCAGTTGCCTTGCGTTTACGGCTATCCCCAGCTTCTTTGACAACGAATACCTCATCTGCTTTAGGTTTCCTGTCCTTCACGTATTGATGCTCAGCACGGGCGCCAGGACTGGTCTTAGATGGCTCAGTAGCAAATGCGCCGGCTGCATTTGTATCTTCGAAGATTTCTGCAGTAAGTTGTGCCATCGGCAATGCTAGACAAAGGCCCTCCCCTGGTACCTGGGCGGTTGCTCTTTGATCCATATCATTCGGAACGGTGGAGCCCCAGAAATGCGAATCCCTACTCTGAGCTGGCAACCTGCTCAAATTACGTTGTAGCTGAGGCGGGAGCGCCAACTTTGCAGTGGCAAGTGCTGGAAATACTTGCTCTGACCCGTTTGCTTTGGAGAAGCGGTCAGCAGTCATAGCCTGCATTGTGTGCATGAACTCTTTCATATCAGACCCTTTGTGGCCCAACATTCTCGCCTTCTTGATAACGGCAAGTATTTCTGATTTGCGGTGCTTAAAGCTTTTGGAAATGGGATGAGAGCAACCAAGCAGAGTAGGCATGTCGACAGGCATCTCTCTGGCAAGATTATAAAGAACATGTTTTGGCATGATGACGTGAACACTCTCGTCTTCCTCTCTGGCAATTTGATCTCGCCATTGGTGTACTGCTGTAAATACTGCGAATTGCTCCCGGTTGAACAGAGCTGGCGTACGACAGAGCATGTTGTACCAACCCATCGGTCCTGACCCACGGTGTATGTCATATATTGGATGCTCATAACGCTGGAGCGTTTCTTCTTTCGAGCAATTCATAACAACCTCAATAAGGTCACCGACTTCCTGGGAGGTGTTCGACCTATCGATGAGCTCATTGCGCATGTTGTCATAGACGTGGAGTAGAAAGTGGGTGTCAGAGCGAGCATAGTTGAACATCTCCTCCGGAAGTGGTCTACCCCATAAAGTCAGTGTGAGATGGCAGAGATTTGACTGATTAGACTGCATTCGAACCGTATTCGCCAATCCGCCATCTGGTATTGTTTTGCTGCGTCGAAATTGGCGAATCGTTTCAGCAAATAGGCCAGCCCATGTTTTGGGTACCCCAAGGATCGCGACGCATGAAAAGTATCGAATAAGCCAACAACGTACAACCCGAAGTCTCTTTGCAGCCAAATCATGTCCATTGAGGAACCGTGAAAAACCTGCTGGAATGAGTGAAAGATCGTCAGGTCAGCCTTGCGGGCTTACTTTGAGTATCTTCGGGTCTGTGAAGACTTCGTTGAGCACCTGAAGCTTCTCCCGCCATGGCTTCAAAGTATCAATTACCCAGTCTTTGTCTCTTGTGCTGATTTGCATCAACGATACTAGACCTATATAGGAATGTTCATCATGGTGCTCTAGGTCGACGGCAAGTTCCTTTGCTAACTTAAGTTCTTCCAGCATGGAACGCAATGTCTCGGGTGTGTCAACCAACGTCGCTTCTGAACATTCGTACGGCAAGAAAGGTATTGGGTGCACTTTCACGCGGGTGGTAAGAGGATACTGAGAATTTCTGATCTCGATTTCGTATGGGTGATTGTACCTAAGCTGCATGTCAATCAGTCCTTTCAAGGGTGCTACAATATGTTTCGAAGACAAATAAAATTGTAGGTCATACTGCGTGAAACTATCTTCAGCGACAACGAGCTTGAGGCTCTCGTCAAGTGGGACGATGGCATTAGGCTTCATGCGTAGCAATGGTCTGAATGGAGTTGTCTCGTCGTTGGTAGGGACTTTTTCGAACAACAGTTGAGGTTTTGCAATGTTCTGCGTGCGATAAGCTTTGCCAGGCTTTTGCTTCCCAGGAGCAGGTGCAGCTTTCTTTATTTGCTCTTCTTGAGTTGGGCTCAATCTTCTGATGACGCCAGTGTATTCATCAAGACAAGCGTCGGCTTTCTCGAGGAGGTTGTCGACCACATCTACAATTTCCTTCCAATTATCTTCGACGGAGTCCGCATTGACAACGTAAGGGTCGGTGACCGCGGTGCCTGAGGCTGCAGAGCTTATAAGGCTCCGGGCAAGGCCGAGAAGTCTTGAGTTTCGTTGCTCAAGCAAAGGCACAATTGAGGGTTTGGAGGAACGATGGAACGGGAGATCCTCGTTTGATATTTGACTGGCAGTCCGAGTGGTATTAATCAAGGCCAAAGAAATGCTATTCTTCAAGTCCTTGAAGGTAGCATCTGAAGCCATGACCGGAAAACTCATGCCAAGTGATCGCCAATAAGCATTAAGAGAGGTACTCGCCGCTGAAGTGGAATCATCTGAATGACGAGTATTTTGGGTTGATGATCTGCGTTTTGTAGATTATTGCAAGGATCCTAAGCCGTGCTTTAGCGCTTCCGCAGAGCCTCGGCCAAAATTGTTCTAAACATTAACTTTGCCAAGAAGGCCTGAAAGCTGCGGGGTTTTTTCAGCAAGACTCTAGAAATGCTCAAAAATTGTTCAAGACCTGCATAGAATGTCCTCCTCTCTTGCACCGGAGTGTAATGAAGTCAAAGAGTGAGTGTATATCCTTGGCCTTGGCACAGGTCTATCTAATGTGGCTCTAGGCGCTACGACTCATGTTTCCTTAAGTGGTACAGTGACAGTAAGGAATCATCGTCTCCTCTTTTTGCATTCTTCTAATTGAAATGCAGAATACTTACGGGGGGAATCAACCATGGATGAATGCCAATCGCTGTTCAAGGATTACAAGATTTGTCTTGATGTAGGCAGGCTTAGAGCATCACCTGGCTCTGAGAGCTAATGTTCTTCAGAAAGCATTGAACGAAAGGAATATCAACTCCATGTTGGAGGATGCAAGGAATGATAACAAGGAGACTGACGCTGAGCATCTCAAACGAAAATGTGAATACTTTCGACGAAGGACTAATGCTAAGGGTCTGACAGTCTACAGAAGCTTTTATAACCTTATATTCATAGACGCAATATTAACTTAGTACCGAGATTGCCTCGTATTTACCTTACCTACTTACTTATATAATTTATTTATTTATATAATTTATCTACTTATATAATATAAATTTTATAATAAATATATATCTTAGATGTTATGATAGTAGAAAACGAGTAAAGGCCTATAAATTAAATTTATAATTTTTTTTTTAATTAGGGCTATCGAGTAAATAGATAATCGATCTTTAATAATTTCTTACGCTTTAATAATTATAAGACTAAATTTAAGAATATTTTTTTTTCTCTAAAAGCCCATATTTCGTTCTATAATTTTAAGAAAAAATCTCAAAATTTTAATAGAAAATCAAAAAGTTATTCTAAAATTAAATAATATATATCTTATAAGAGTAATATGAAAATATAGATATAAGAGTAATATATAGTAAAGATGATTCTTCTTCTATTAAGAAGTAACTACTTATTAAAAAGCTAGCTTTCTTTCTATCGATAAGTTTTAAAAAGTACTATCAAGATCTGAATCGAGAAAGCTAGATATCTATTCGGGAAGTAATATTATAATAGTATAAGATCCTTAGAAATCTTTCTAAGAAAGACGTTTCTTGATGTGGTAAAAGGATGATTCTTCTCTATAGAATCTAATTATCTAAATATATCTTAGTGCTAAGTCATATTAAGCTATTAGTCTCTAGCTTCTATTATAAATATAATCTATAATATATATTAATAATAAAAAGAAAGGTAGCGTTCTCGCTGTAAGCAAAGCTATAAAGAAAATTATATAAAGATTCTTATTTCTTTAAGTAATTAAGAAAGCCGTTTTTTTAGATAAAGCACGAACTTTCTTTCTTCTCATATCACGATCTTTCCCATAAAAATAGCCTTTCTCGAAAGACGTTTTATTAAATAAGAAGTCGTATACTATAACGGGTAGTAGAAGGATTTAATAGCGGGACTAGCGATAATATAAATAAAGATAAATCTATAAGAATCGTTTTTCGAGAATACTCTAGCTTTCTAGCAATAATAGCTTAATTTCTAATAGCGTTAGCTTTAGGGGATTTCTTAGCTAATACTACGCTTAATAGAGTAAGAACTTTCTTAATTAATACTTACGCCGGTGTTTATATAGTAGACTATTTCTTTTCTTAACGATTTCTTATAGAATTAGTAGAAATTTAAGCGTCGTATTCTACTATAAGATTTTTTGCTTTCAAGAGAGTATATAATAGATATCAAGCATTATACTTCTTATTACTATTCTTTCAATATATTAAATACTTAATATTTCTTTTAATTCCCCATCTATTACTTAGTTTCTCGATTTCGAATAATAGAAATCTAGCGATAAGGTCTAGATCTATCTATTTTTTTTTTTTTTTCTATTATAACGACATCTGCAAATCTGAAGTTTCTATAAAATTTGAATTGTAATCGCTTGGAATTACAAAATCTGATTAGTAAATCTTTGAATTTATCTAAATCTATTTTTCGTTTCTTTACTAATTATAATTAATATATTTTTCTACTTAATTTATAGTAATATATAAAAAAGAAAGTTCTAATAATCGACGTTATAATAATAAGGTTTTACGATAATAGTTTACGTCACTTAAATTTAGCTATAAAATTAAATAATTTAATAAAATTGTCGCTAGATAATCTCTAATATAGCGTATAATAATACGTATTTAATAATAATATTATTAATATTTATATATATAGAATAATACTTAGAGTATATTAGAGTATATTACGCAAAATTTTTAAAGTTTTTAAAAATTTTTTAAATTAAAAAAAAAAAAAAAAAAAAAAAAAAAAAAAAAAAAAAAAAAAAAAATTTTATTAAAAAAAAAATTATTAAAAAATTTTTTTAAAAAAAAAAAAAAAAAAAAAAAAAAAAAAATTTTTTTTTTTTTTTTTTTTAAAATTTTTTTTTTTTAATAAGAATCTTTAGCTTAATCTAATATAGGCTTTAATTAAACTATAGATATTATAGAATAAATATATATAATATTCGATAGATTTAGTCGATAGATAAGATTTTTAACTTTCTTTAATACTTTAAATAATCCGACTCTCTAATTAGAAAGCTTAGAATTAACATCGAAAATAAAGTAGCTATAATATAGCCTTAGATAAACTAATAATTTTTTATAAAGATTAATAGCTTTATAATTACTATTGTAGCGAGTTTTCGTTATAATATTAGCGAAAGTAATAGTATTATTAGCCTTCTCGCGTTTAATAAAACGTAGTTAATCGAGATTCTCTAGCGGTAAATCTATAAGTAACTCTAGAGTATCTCTTACTTAAAATCTATAGGCGATTTTATTTAATATAAATCTCGTTAATATAATTAAGTTATTAAGAAATATTTAAAGAAATAAAAGTACGTTTAATTAATTATTTATAATAATAATAAGATAAAATCGTAGAGTAATCTCGATAGTCTAATTCGTTTTTTCTAATTATTTATCTATCTAAGAATAATAAGTAGTTAAAGTTACTATAGTAGTTTCGAGCTTCTTAAAAATAGTTTTCTAGAAGATATTTATAAACTTAATATTACGATCGCTAATTACGATAATAGAAATATCTTAATTATAAGATATTAGAGTAATAAGTAAAGTATTTATTTAATTAGTCGTAATCTATTCATTAAATTCTAATATAAAAAGTTTTCTCTTAAAGAACTTACATATTATAATAAGAAGTATATTCTTATCTTCTTAGAAAGAAAGTACGATAATAAAATCTATTATTATAATATAGAATAAAATCGATAGCGTATAAATTAAATTAAGCTCGCTATAAGTAGAATATCATTTAATTTAATTAAGTTAATACTTCGAATAATATTTTAGATAGATCTAAAGATGCTTTGATAAGTCTTTAATATAGATTAATAGCGAGATCCTAGTATAAGTAATATAAAAACCGATATGGAAACTCTAATTATATACTAGCTAAAAAACTTCTTACTATATAGACTTAGAAATATAGAGTTATTACTTACTAATATAATTAAGCGTTATACTATAAATAAGATTACTATATTTCTAAAAGCGAAGTTTTTCTAATAAGTTACTCTGCAATCTGAAGTTTCTTAAAATTTGAATTGCTATCGCGCGTTCGTCGCGGAAATTATAAATTCGCTAGATTAGTAAATCTGATTAGAATCCACTCAATTCTATCGTTTAGTAAATCTAATTAGAATTTATCTAATTCCGCCGGTTTAGTATTATTCTATTTTTTGTAGTTCTATTAGTTTAATAGTAATACGCACAAAAAGAAAGTTCTAATAATCGATTTATGATAATAAGATTTTATAATAATAGTATTACGCTAACTTAATTTAACTATAGATTAAATAATTTATAAAATTAGTCGCGTAGTAATCTCTAGTATAGCGTATAATAATGCGTTTTATATATATATATTAATGCTTATATATTAGATAGTACTTAGGTTATTAAGTGCTTACGTAAATTTTTGAGTTTTAATTTTTAAGTTGCTAAACTAATAGACTGGCAAAAGATTGAATAGTTACTAAACCGACGAAAGGTTGATATGGCAAGTCTGCTAAATGACTAAATCTGCTTATGGTGCGAACCCGCGAAAATCGTCACTTTGTTTGGATGTAGGCTACTTAAGTAAGTTAAAAATCTTAATTTATTAAGAATTCTTACTATACACCTCGATAAGACATTTTTTAAAATTATTATTTATTTCTATTAAAGTTATATAATAAATCGAGATTTCTTCGAGCGATACTATCTATTTATTTAATTCTAGAATACTTTTATAAAGACTTTCTAGTACTACTTACTTTTCTTCGAAATCTATATTTATTTAAAGTTTAAATAATATATTAAGAATAATATTCGCTTTATTAGTCTTATAGCGTATAATAAGATTAAATTCTAATAAGTATTAAGAAGCATAAATTAGTCGAAGATTTAGTTTATTAGTAAACGACGTGAAAAGCGTAATTTATTAAGCGATCTAAACTATAGTAAAGTAATTAATATAAATTATTATTAATAATACTTCTAATATTTCGATTAGATATCTAATCTTGCGAACTACTTAAATTATAATAGCGATCTTAAGTTTTATAGACTAGTAATTATATTTCATAGTATTAATTAATTTACTTAAAAATATTATAGCTTATATATCTCCTCTAGTAAAAATAAAGACTTTCTTTTCTTCTTATACATAATAAATTATAATAGCGAATCTCTATATTTTAAAAGTATCGATATCGATAT